TTGACATACTGGACAAACTGATATTGCATGACATGTGTAGCTTTCTTTAGACTCTCTGTTCAAGATAAGATGCATATGCGTCTTGTTATGTTACAGAGTAGCCAACTTATGAGTGATATTCCTAGTCGTTTTCTGGCGAATAAAAATTTTTTTTATATTTGTATATACCTAAATAATTAGTAAATACATAGTAAATATCTAGTATATACTCGTCTACTTATAAATAAGCAATTTTTATTTCTTCAAAAAACAACGAATACTACCCTAAACTGCTTTACTTTCATAATAGGGAATTCCATATTTTTTTAAGCTAAGTTTGTTTAAGATTGGGCTTCCCCTATCACGTAGGTCACTTGCAGCCAGGATGGTATAAATATGCGTGCGAGATGACTTACGTTTCAAAATCTTCACAACTGTGCCGCAAGTAATTGCAATTCTGTATCGTCAACTGCGCAATTTCTGCTGAAAAAAGTCTTCGTGAATTCATCGAGTCTTTCGCTTTTGGAAAGCAACGTAAGTTATATTTCTTTACAATTTTTAATGCATTTTTGTAAAAATAAGTACTTACGCGTTTATATCTTTAAAAATAGTAACAATATATAAAACTATGATGTGTTAAATGACAATTTATTGCATATTTGTTGGAGAAGAACCATTCATTGATTATTAGACATTTACGAAGTATTAAAAAGTGACTAAAAAAATTAAGAAAATGATTAAAAAGAAAAGTGCGTGATTGCTGATAAACGAACTCGGAAAATTATAACGCGACAATTCCAAATTTAATCAAATGTACTGCGAATCTACCAATATTGTTAATATTTTGTGTATTGGGATATTTAATGCTTCGAAAAAAATTAATATTAATACGGTAGTTTTGAATTATAAAATATTTAACTTTGTTTGATAATTATAACTCATACTGCATTAATATAAATCATAGCGGAGTGTCTTAATATATAGAATCTGATTGCGAGTGAAAAAATCAGGCATAAATGGTAATAGACAGTTTTAATATGATGTTTAACCATCATATAATTATTTTATTTTTCTCTTTGATTTTTTACCTATACATACTTTTCAAGCGGATTGTGATTTGAAAAATTTTGTATATGATTCAGTTGTGCTATTATATAATTTTTAAGTGAAAAATTATTCTTGTCTAGATGGATAAGAATGCTCAAGACAATCGCACTAAGCAGTGCAACCCAACCCACACCCCGACTGGGCCCGGGCATCAAACGGGTTATCATGGATCAGGTACCAAAGCCGATCTTGATAATCGTTCGCAGCAGTTAAACCCCAACAATCCGAAATATACAAAGTAAAAGATATGCAGAATATTATATATTTCGCAGAATATTGACATTGCAATATGTAAAATGTCAAAATATGAATGAATCAAATTAAAATATAAATAATTACAAAAAATATCTTTATATATATTTTCCACATCACTTCTATATATATTTTATCCTGTTCATAGTTTTTACTCCTATTTCCAGCTTAACCATTTAGAATTATTTATTATAAAATTAAACTACACCATAATGTAATCGTTAAACCCATTTTATTCTTAAATAAAGAATGTCATTATTTAAAAGCTTATTTGTACATAAAGAAAGAATATTAGTTTTGCAATTATTAATTTTTTAGCATATATTGCTTAATGCTACGTCGAATATCAAAGAAAATATTTGATTGCTAATACACGAACATTTAGATTGAAAACGTGTAAGACTTAAAATAAATGACGAAATCATTATCTACTAGGCTGCTGAATCCAGTATCCCCAAGTAGTGAAAAATTTGTCATCTTTTTCCTCGGTCGGGCCGCGAAACACTCTTATCTTAACCCGTGGAATGTCATCTAAACAAATAGCAAGCGCATATAAAACTTCAATTAAAAAAGCCAGTTCCGGTTAGATACTATATATTTAAATACCCTTGAACTTGATAACAAATATCACGTAACACCGTTTACAATAATACCTCTTTTTATAGTCTGATGACGCATGACACTGCCTGATTCACTGCAGCTAGCCGTCATAAATATTGCTATTTCAAGCAGACCGAGAATAGAAAGAATACTCTGCAAGAAAACATTAGTTCTTTAATTATTCGACGCGATCAGTAAAATAAAATATAAATCTATAAATACATCATGCTGTTTACTGATCTGACTCACCACCGCTCTCATCGTGATTGCCATACAGAGGCTGACTGAGTTTCTGAATTTAAAGAGAGGAAATTTATATGGTATACGCAACATCTAGAGCATGACTGGTGGTTTTCCATCCCGTGACTTGAGGGATCGTTTTTCTAAAGAGAAAGCTGCATTGTCCTGTAAGGCAAAGATAATATATCGTAAAGCGACAAAAACATTACGTTTTTTCGACAACTTTTCACCTTAGCGAGCTGTCTGTAACATTGATCGAATTCATCGTGACGCTGTAAAGACATGTTTAACAGACACAAATACTTCCAAACGCTCGCGTTACGATTGTCAATCTGATTCGCCTCTGATAAAGCTGCCTCAGCTTCCGTAAATCGCTGCAGCTGAAATAATTTTTGCATACAAGTAACTTTTACAAATAATTTTTAATATAGAAGTTTATTCTAAAAATTTTTCTTTAACTGATGATTTGATTTATCAAAAGAATTTTACAACACGCAACTTTAATTTTAACAACAGACTCTCTAATAAATTTGAAATTTATCTTTTCGTACCGAAAATATCAAGGACAAAAAATTTTAAATGATAAACGATTGTATATGAAAAAAAAAGATTTTCGCAAACTAAAGAACAATTAGATAAAAAAGAATTTTAATTCTTTGTTTAAATTCAAATAAATTCTATTTTAACTAATTTTAATTTAAAAATTTAATTTACAGAGAAAAGATTTGATTGTTATAGTTTGATATAATGATTTACTTCGTAGAAAGCGACTCCAGCGCTAAGCCACGTTTCTGCTGACGGTGAAATTTGACACGCGTTGAGGACAGCCTTCAACGCATGTTCGTAGTCACCGACATCTTCGTAATACAGTCCCATTCTATTATAATATTGTTATATTAGAAAAAAAATAAAAAGTATAAAAGGCTCAAATGATTAAAACAATCAATTAAAATTAACAGGAGCGCGAAAAGCCAGAATGCAAGATCTTCGTGCGTTCCTGTTAATTGTTAGTTGATTGTTATGTTAGAAATAGCTTGTCTTTTTTATCTCTCTTAACTGCTTTATGCAATATACAAATTAAATGATCTCACCTCATCTGTACGAGATGCGAATCATCCGGTTTGTTTAATACCGCAATAGCGAATTCGTAGTAACGAATCGCTTCCGCAAAATTACCCTTTTGAAAATAACAATGCCCTGTCAAACTGCTTACCGAATAATTCTGTAAACTCAAAAATATTTTTGAAGTTTTATAAAAATTATGACTTTTATCTAATATGACAACTTAATTTTCTAGCAAAATCAATAAGAATGTAATCATTATCATTTAATTGTGTTTTTTTTAACTAATGTGAAATAAGTGAAATAAACAAATAAATTAGTTTAAGTGAAGAATAAATAGATAATTCTGAATAAATAAATTATTTTACTATTTTTCACTAATTTACTAAAGTATTAATTATTAGTTAATTAATTAAATATTTGGAAATTAATATAAAACTTTACTTATTCAAAATTATTCATGTATTCTCTGTTTAAATTAATTAATTTTGTTATTCCACAAATTCATAATTGCGGAGATAAAATCACAATCTCGAAAGAAAGAAACGGCTAACAATAAGACATGTTCCGCAATGTTAAATGAAAATTAATTGAACAAAATGAACTAACCAGTTCGTAATTATTTTCGGCTTCTGTTAAATACGACAAAGCATCTTCGTATTGGTGCAATAAATAAGATTGCACAGCTAAGTAATATAGCACGTAGGTGATTCTGCTGGCTCGCAAAATTTCTTCTGCTAATGCTACGTTAGCAAACTATAAGTATAAACACCAAGTGTTATTGTACAGTGAGTTTCATGGGAAGTTTCTGAAACTTAGCTGAATTAGCTGTCATTTTTAAACGCACATAGAGAGCAAGAAAAATAAAATATCTTCTAGCAGAGGATATTTTGCAGTTTTACATATAAATTAAAAACAATCGGAGATATTTTTATTATTAAATAAACGTTTATAAAAAAATGCCAAATTTTGCTAATTTTAATGATTTATATTTTCGAAATGCGCACTGACAGAATTATAACAAAAAAATTAAGTTACTTTTGGAAACTATAAAAAACTTTATACAACAAAAATTACAGTTATAATTTTCGAAATCGACTTAATTTTTATTATAATTCTGACGGTGCGCACGTAGGGATATTTGGCATTTTTTAATAAACGTTTATTTCATGATAAAAATATTGTCTTTAGTTTATACGTAAATAAAATTGTAAAATGTCCTTTGTCAGAAGATATTTTATTTTTTTTGCTTCCTACGTGTGTTTAAATATGTCAGCTAATTAATTTCAGCAACTTCCCGTGGAACACCTTGTACAACTTATGCGTTTTCACGTAAAAAATAATTTCAAAGCTAAAGTATTACGTCACAGAGATACAGCTTCATTAGTAACACAGCTGTTATCATATAGACGCTATCTCGCGGACAGCAGATTGTTGTCCAAGCGAAGGCATCTTTATTCGAAATTTCCATCTCTCTATCGTTATCTTGCATACAATTTTCTGCTATGCGCAAAGCGAGATCTATTCCTACAGAAAATTATATTTATATATTTAATTTATATATTTATATATTTAATTATATTTTTATATTTAATCTAACGCAGATTAGAAACAGAATTTTGTTATACCTGGAGTATAATCCGTGTGAATGTAAAACAGGTGTAAAATGACCCAACCTTCGACGAATCGCGGGTGGAAATCGGTAACAGCTCGCAAAAAGATTTCGGCTTCCCGATAATTTTGCTCTCCGGCGAGAATTAATCCATACATTAATAAACTGAAGAAAGGTGTTCGTCGCATAAAATTATTTAGTTTGAAATATTTCCAAATTTTAACATTACACTTTTGTAATGATAAATATATTGTAAATTTTTACATACGCGATTTTATCTCGTCTATCTGAGAGAATCGCTTCGCGACAGCTCTCTTTTGCGCGCTCCGTATCGCCAATTTTTAAAAGGAAAGTCGCATACTTTGTCCATGCTTCGGGATCACTCTTATCTGCTGTAATTGCCTGTGAAAGGCAATCATGCTTAAACAACACGATTCATTGAGTTCATATATGTGCAGAATGAATCATACGTACAGTCAGATGATGCCGTCTTGCATCATTCAAGTAACCTAACTCATAAGCTTCTTCGGCGTAGAAGTATAACTTTTTAGATATCACAATTTTTAGCGAATCATCGTCTACGAGACGGGTTTCGATGATTTTATTAATGGCCAAGTGCATTTGTTCGACGAGATATGTGTATACAGACGCCACAACGTTCTACGCACAAATTATAATTCGCAAGAGCTTATCAAAATCGCAAAATCGAATCTGAATAAATTTATGAATAAATCTGTGACTGTAAAATCACATAACAAATAAAAAACAGTTGTAAAAAACAGTTTTCGATAACTTGCTATATTTTAATTTTAACGCGAATATCTTACTAAATTAAATAACAAAAAAAATTTTACAATATAATAAATTTTAAGTAATAATTCTTATGTATATATGATAATAATTGTTTTCACCTGACTATCGACGGAGTGCACGGTGCTTACGTCCGTCTTGAATTTCTGATCTAACAACGCAGTCACTTTTTCCTTCAAAGTGCTGCATATAGTCAAGTACACACCGGTTTTATATAAGTATTGCGTGAAACAAGTTAACTCGTCCTGAAAATTGTTACGACAAACATGCAATATAATAATTTTTCACATTGCCTTTTTCAATTTATTTTACCTCTTCGGGGACGAAGCAATATTTCGCTTTTTCTGTCTTTTCAATATTATTTGAATTATCTTGTTCATTCAAAGTGGACAATTTTTTTTGCTTTTTTTCCTCATGAAAATTCTAAGGCGAGAAAATGTGTTGCTGTGATATAATATTTTAATTTATAATATAAAATATCAAAGAGATATTAAAAGTGATCAAAAGTATTTGATATTTATAATTAAATCCATTTGTAACAAAAATATATTTGATTTAAGTTATATTTGATTATCATTTTATATTATACGATATAAAAAGCGTAATACTCGATAACTCTCTGTAAGAATTTCCACCAATTTTCGAATGCAAGCTGCGTATTGCTCTTCCGCCATCTCGCGAGAATAAACATAATACGGTTTAGCCACTTTCGGCGTTATTATTTTATCGATTCTAGATAAAATTGGATAACATGAAATAAATAAGAAAATGTTAAGCCTAATAATTGATTATCTTTATCGATTTTAAATAAAATTGGATAATATGAAATAAATAAGAAAATTTTTCAAGCCTAATAAGAATTTGATTACTTTTAGATAATATTAAATTTTTCTTGTTATACTCGAGAACTTACATGTTTGAAAAGTCAGTTTCGAGTTTACAAGGAATAAGTGGGCAATGAAGTTCGACTTCGATTATGAAAAACACAGGCTCTCCGGTTTCCGAAATTAACGGAAAATTTTGTGTTATTTCGGTATTCAATTGATTGCTCGTAGTGGATTTTGGTGTCGATTGCTTGAAATATTGATTAATTCTAATTACTTTTAATATTACACAGAAACTTTAATTTTTTAAATTTTTGCGTAGGACTTATTTAAACCGATATGTAATCGTGTTCGGCTAACTTTCTTTGATTCTCGTTCCTTTACATTTTTATTCCAAGAATTTACATGAAAAATATCTTTATCTAAGCCAGTTCTGTCGGCCATTTCCGACACATTGTGCGCATGCAATTGCGTCATTATACGAGTACTTTTCTCTAAAAAATATTTAATATAGCATTTAACAAATCTTAATAATATTTTAGCACATGTAGAAAACATTTTACTATTTATGTTGTTTAATTGAATTAAAAATACATTATTATTTAATAGCCATCATAAATTATTATTTAAATTGAACAAATAAAAAATAAACACTCGCGCTCTTACTTCCCGGGAAAAGAAGCTCCGACAAATCAACATAACACTGATAAAGCTGATATTTAACCAATTTTTCATCCTTTTGTCTAATAATGTTCTTTTTCTCGGCCATCATAAATTGAACCGGCCAATATTTACGTCTTTAAACAAAATTTTATATTTAGTATAGATTTTTATATGGAAGATTCTATATCTGCTTAAAGTGACATTTATTTATTCTTGCATTAAGCTGCAAATATACAGGGTGTCCCTAAAATTTTGACAAAGCTCTCGCGTGCAGGTAGAGCGGACTAAACTGAGTCGAAAAATCCTGTACCATTTTGCAATTTTCGCAACAGTTAATGAGTTATTAATTACTAAAGATCGCCGAATAAGCGCGTATCCGTCCAGCTTACCGCCGAATGCAAGCGCGCAACGAGATACAATAAAAAAACGGGAGACCATTATATCTCAGAGCCTTTTGCCGCTTGTAGTAAACAATTCCCCGCGCGCCTAGCGATTATGATCGGTTGTATCTCGCCGCGCGCTTGCATTCGGCGGTAGGCTGGACGGATATGCGCTTATTCGGCTATCTTTAGTAATTAATAACTCGTTAACTGTTGCAAAAATTGCAAAATGGTACAGGACTTTTCGACTCAGTTTAGTCCGCTCTATCTGCACACGACCGCTTTCTCAAAATTTTAGGGATATTCTGTATAACACGATAAACATATACTTGGCAATATGCTTCTGCATCGCTTCAATGCCTACATCATTCATTATCCTGCGACACATGAGGTTCCATTCGATTCTAGGTTCATCCTGCGATAGTTTCTTCTACAATTTGCACATTAATTTATTCTTCATTGTGCACTCATTAATTTGTTCAATTAAATATTGTGAAATATTGTGTGTCTTAAATCTACCTGCAAGTCGAGTTTTACACCGAGCGTATTTTTTATATTTGCATAATCGCGACTGATTTTCCATTTTGACAATCTGGCGTTACTTTGCAATTTCGATAAACTCTGCCACTTCTTCGCTCTTTCCGCGTCGTGATAATTTGTCCATTTGCCGTTTTCGAATATCACGTTTTCGGGAATCTGCGGTAAAAGGCATTGTACGATAATTTTTTATATACATAATATAAATAGCATTTATCTAAAGTAAATATGATAAATATGATAACAGTTAAATAAACTTTGTTTTTTTATTGCAGAAATACAATCTAGATTAAACTTCCTTCGACTTTTTTGATATGTTCTTAGAATTGATAATTCGTTCATATATTTTCCTCTTACTTATCTTTTTGTCAACACTTATACAGTTCTCTGAATCCATCAGTGCGCAGGTTTGTGCTTTTTATTCGTACTATAATGTTTATTAAACTATTCTTTTTAACTTATAAAATATTTTATGTATTAAAATGAAAAGTGCAAGAACAAATACTAAAATATTGTTTCTTTTCAATTTAACATATCGATATATAAAAGAATCAGCACATTTTTTATATTTCTTTTTTAATTTAATATTTTAATTATATTTTAATTATATTTTAATTGTATTTTAATTGTATTTTTCTATCTTTCTATTTTTTTATTTAAAAAATTTAAATAACCGAATAGGCACAAATTAAAATTGTGATTAAAAAACTGAAAACTGCGTTGATAATGTGTAATTATTACCTCATTGTCAATATATACTATCGTGCCTGCTTGATGCTCCGCATCTTCAGCGAAGAAAACCGGTGGATTGTAGATACTTTCCACTGTAATATTCAAGAAATTAATTTTCATTTCCGAGGGAAATATATCTTTACCATCATATGCCATTGTCACTGTTAGCGCAGGAAGATTGTGCAATGAGATCGCATTGCTATTGAGCCAGAGATGCGCGGAATGAACAACCACTTTTTCAGTGAGCGATTTTTCACCTTACGACAAAATCATAAAACATATTTTAAAGTATGCTTCTCAATCTTATTTTCTCAGTTTCGATGCAATGAATAGTTACCTAGCAATATCGGCATTAAATCGAGACTGCAGAAACCGATCACTTTTGACGAAATTGATGTTTTTTTCCTCGCGGTTGACCCGACAGAATTGGACAAATTATCACAATTTCGAGTATCGCACATCACTTTTACTGACGAGACAATAATTATATAACAAAACAATTCACCATGACTGCGTTTGGGGAGCGCGCTATCAGCGCTATAGTGTCACTCCATTTTTATCGATTATTAAACATAAAACAAGGATAGAATGACACAATAGCGCTGATAGCGCGCTATCAGCGCTATCGCATCATATTCTATCTTTATCGTTCATTGGACATAAAACAAGGATAGAATGACACAATAACGCTGATAGCGCGCTCCCCGAACGCAGCTCATGTAATTAAGATAATTATTATTCATATTGATAGTATTGTGAAATATTTATTATTAATATACGCCTTTGTACTTAAGATTGGTGTCGATACGACTGGATCTACGCTGTTGCAATCGTTAACTATAAACGTAAGTTTGACAGTAAAATCGACATCGTAAATATGCGAAGGTTCCTTTAAACTCGGATCGATGGTAAGAGGAATACTTTCTCCGAGCACTACATCATTATGTGTCACGACAAACGACACGTCAGCTTCTTCTGTTGTGTCTAATTGTGTCTATTACATAAAAAACCAATTTTTATTTTATCATGAAATAGTAGTTAAATTGTGCAAGAAAACTTACGATATTTTCAATGGATTCTATAACTATATTTATGCTTCTCTTGATCGGTTCATCTTGAACTACAGGTCGCTCCATTGGAAAATATACTTTTACCGCTTTTCGCTAATTTTTATTTGTACGATGTAGAGCTCACTCTAATAACGAAATGATGGTTATAATTTTATTTTCAATTGTTTCTTGAAACTTTTGACTTCAAACTTCAGATCGGAATTCACAAAATTGAAAACGCTAAAATAAAAAGATCACTGTGGTATAACAACATTAATTTTATTTATCAATAGTATATATATATATGTGCCTTCAATAATAAGCAATTATCTTTGTATTACGGTATACGTATGCATATAAATTATTATTTTATATATAAATATAAATTATTCTTCAATAGTTTTCGAATCAGAATCGAATAGTTAGACAACTGTGATAGTTTTTTTTTTTATAAATCCTAAATCTTTTACACTCGGTATTTATTCTGCACAATTTATAGACATTCACCAATATTCTTTTGTACATTTTTGAGAGCTTTCAAAATATGAAAGAGTCACAATTGCACTTATAAAAAAATAACTGTATCGAACGGACAAATTTAAATGTTCGACCTACTAGATCGTCATCGATTCCGAAATAGACTCATTGCCATCGGCAATGAACTCTTTTCCTCGGGAAAATTTGTTTAAATCCTTTTCTTCCTGCAACTCGTTAATGTAGAGTTGGTGAAGACAACAGAGTGAGACAATATTTTTGTATTCGCTTTCAGCGCACACCGTATCGATAATTTACGCCACGAGCGCTACAATGTGATTGAGCTAAAGTTCGCGATTACGGAATTTACAATCACCGATGTGAAGGCACTACAGTTTCTCCAAATGCATTTATGCCAAAATGCATCCACTATACAACCGTATAAAAAAATTAATATACATGCATATATATATATATATATATATATATATATA